TATATATATATTCTCCTATATTAGGGAGGATGTTAAGGGAGAGATTGACAACAATACAGTCATAGTAGGGGGCTTTTATACCCTACTGATTTCACTGGGTAAAAAAGTCAGCAAGGAAGCAGTGACTCTAAATGACACACTAGATCAGATGGATTTAATTGACATTTACAGAACATTTTATCCAAAAGCTGAAGAATACACATTCTTCTCAAGTGCACATGGAACATTCTCAGAGAAAGACCACATGTTAGGACACAAACAGGTCTCTACAAGTTCAAGGAGATTGAAATTGTATCAAGCATCTTCTTGGATCACAATGGCATGAAAAAAGAAATAAACTACAATAAAATACTAAAAAACATTCAAACACATAGAGGCTAAATAGCATGTTCTTAAATGATGAGTGGGTTAGCAATGAGATAAAGGAAGAAATAAAAAGCTTCCTGGAAACACATGAAAATGAACACCCAACAACCCCAAATCTATGGGACACAGCAAAAGTAGTCCTGAGAGGGAAGTTCATAGCATTACAGGCCTCCCTCAAAAAAATAAGGAAAATTTCTAATAAACTATGCTAACCCTACAACTCAAAGAATTCAAAAGAGAACAACAAGAAAAGCCCAGAGTAAGTAGATGGAAGTTAATAATAAATATCAGAGTGGAAATAAATGACATAGAGACTAAAAAACAATATGAAAGATCAATGACACCAAGAGCTGGTTCTTTGAAAAGATAAACAAGATTGATGAACCTTTAGCCAGACTCATCAAGAAACAAAGAGAGAGGATCCAAATAAATAAAATCAGAAACAAAAGGGGTGAAGTAAGAACTGACACCACAGAAATACAAAGGATTTTGAGAAAATACTATGAACAGCTATATACCAACAAGCTGAACAACCTGGATGAAATTGACAAATTCCTATAAAAATACAATCTTCCAAAACTGAATCAGGAAGAATCAGAAAATCTGAATAGAACTATAACAACTGATAAAATTGAAACAGTAATAAAACAAAAACAAACAAACAAACAAAAAACTCCCAGGAAACAAAAGCCCAGGTCTGGATGGCTTCACAGGGATGTTGTACCAAACATTCAAAGAATTAACACCTATCCTCTTCAAACTATTCCAAAATACCTATAGAAAGGAACACTTTCAAGCTCTTTATATGGGGCCAGGATTACCCGAATTCTAAAACCAGATAAAGACCCTACAAGGAAAGAGAATTGCAGGCCAATATCCTGGATGAACACAGATGCTAAAATCCTCAACAAAATATTAGCAATTCGGATCCAGCAATACATTAAAAATATCATAC